GGCATGGTGGAGCACGCCTGTCATCCAGCACCTCGGGAGGCTGAGAGGACGACTGCATGTCAAGGCCAGCCTCATCAACTCAGTGAGGCCCTGTTTCAAAGTAAAATACAGATACGCTGGGGATGTGGCTCAGTGGTTAAGGGCCCCTGGGTTCAATCCCTACTACAAACAAACAAACAAACAAACAAAACCAGAGATGATATAAAACCAAAGCACAAGGTGTAGCAGGTTCAGAAGAGACTCTGGGTGGGAATGACCTTGGCTGGGAAGGAAAGACCATTCAAGACAAGGTCAGAGACAAGCCACACCCATATCATGTTAAAAAGAATAATTTTAATCTAAATGTACTCCTTTTGTAATTATTGCACAGCTGCCTTCTAAATGAGGAGAGAAGACCCCCAGGGCAGGGGTTTTACTGCTTTTGTTCTCTAGGTCTGGTCCAAATTGCAGAGAATCGGTATTCAATAGGTGTTTTGGAATGATAAGAACTGCAGAAAGAAACCCTTTAGGAATTGTGTCATTTTGGACACATGTTTCCTAAGAAGTTCATTTTGATGGATTTATTTTTAACATCTTCTTCTTGCCCTCCATCATCAACTTTAATCATCCATCCGTGCTCCGTGGGCACAAGCTATCACAGATAGATGGCAGTGGGATTAGAAAGGATCCCTGATAAAATGTTTGTACTGGAATTTGGCTGAAGTAAAGAAGTATGTGGTACCTTCTCCAGATGAGGTGTTCAGCATCTGATAAATATTCTGTCGTGTGGGGTAATGGAAACTAGATTAATAAAGCCCCAACTCTGGTGACTTCTTTAACTTGAAGAATGGATTATTGAACTAACTAGAACTAACTTCAATGAAGCTGCTTTGTGGTGATTATGAGGGTTACCTGGGGTAGGTTTTTTTTGTTGTTGTTTGTTTGTTTTCCCCAGTGCTGAGTATCAAATCCAGGGCCTTACACATGCCAAGCAAGATCTCTACCACTGAGCCACATCCCAAAGCTCTTGCTTGGTTTTTGTTGTTGTTGTTGTTGTTTTAATAAAAAGACTTAAGACAGATTTAGAAACTATTGTTGGATATATAACCTTATGGAATCCAAGAGTCAGATTATTTGTAAACAAACCTTTGAAAAGACCATTTTAGAAAGCAATTCAGGGCTTTCCTGTCAGCAGGGCAGACACTAGATAAACAAAACTGCTGAACAAAACAAGTAAAAAAGCTGGATTAGAAACATAAAATTGTCTGTTTAAGTGCTTCACTGGACTGGGAGGGAAAGAAGGATTCCCCAGAGGCCAAGAACAGAAAAGCAAAGTTCCTGGGAAACATTCTTCTGAGATGAGAGACCTTGAACTTGGGCACACAGCTGCTCAGAGTGGGCACCTGAGCTGTAGGGGTGCAGAGGGTGCTCATTGGACATCCCCACACAAAGTTGAGACTCTCTGTGCAAGAAGCAAGGAGAAATAAATCTAGAGTATTGACAGAAACCAAAAGAAAAGAGCTCTGGGCAAAGATAGGGAGTAAAAAACCCTTCCCCTGAGCATTTGTAACAAGGCAACCTTCACCTTCCTGGGTGTGCAGTCTGCATTCTACCTGTAGGATCCGAAAATATTTTCAAAATAAGATTTAATATAAAGTAGGATGAGAGTGTTTAAGGTTGTGCCTTTTTAAAATTGAAATGCAATTCTTTAAAATCCTTTCTTTTCTTTATTATACTGGTGCATTTAATTATAATATATGAAAAAAACAGAAAATGTAGAAAAGAAAAAAAACAGGAGCAGATTTCAACAAACTCTACATATTCTGAATTAATAAGAAATTGGAGAGTTTTAAGAACTGCAGGCAAGGAGTGCCATGGTAGCAAAATGCTTAAAGTTCACACAATCTAAAGAGTGACTTGTTTTAATTATTGGCCTGTTTTTTTAAATCTTTTTTTTTTTTTTTTTTTTTTTTATTTTTTTATATGAGAAAAAGGAAATGAAGCTATAGGGGGATACATTGGAACCAGGTGATGGGATTAACCTCATTAGTTTGCTAAATTAATAACAATCAATAGTTTTTAAAAATGATATCAATATTAAAGCTCAGCGGGACTGATACTAGACTTTCCCTGGACTTTAGTCAAACATTGAACACTGGGGCCTGGCACAGTGGCACACACTGGTAATCCCAGTGGCTCAGGAGGCTGAGGCAGGGGGAAATCAAGTTCAAAGCCAATCACAGCATAAGTGAGGTGGTAAGCAACTCAGTGAGACCCTGTCTCTAAATAAAATACAAATAAGGGTTGGGGATGTGGCTCTGTGGTCGAGTGCCCCTGAGACCAATCCCTGGTACCCTGCCAAAAAAAAGACAAAAAAACACATTTGACATGGAAGATCTAAAAAGCTACTAGATAAATGGGCTAACACATCAGATCCTGGTACGCACTGAGGACACTAGGGGAGAAGTAACATAAAGGGAACAATTATCTTGACATATCAGTGTTTTCCTCTGACAGTTAACCTCAGCCTTCCAGATGTTCAAATTTGCTTTATTTGTCCAAAGGGAACCAAGGAAGTCCACAAAGCATATTGTTTAAATAGGCTCCATATTTTATCCAAATTGATTTGTCCCCTATCCCATTCTTTGCCTGATCTATATTTCTTCTTGGAAACATCCCTCCTATATAGTATATCAAGTGATTCAAGCACTGCCATAAATTTAGCTATTGAGAGACAAGGAGATGAGACTGATACTTACCAATGCCTAAATAATTAGTAGCTCGATGATGGGAACAGGGCTTGGTAGTGAGACTGGAACTATTTTAAGTTTCTAATCAAGATGTCTCAGCATGACTCCTTTCAAACTATGAAAATAGGTCTCTATAGTATTTTGTTAACCATAAAGGCACTTCTTCCACAAGTAAAAATGAATCTCATTTTTTCTGAAGGATGCCTTCAATAGAAAGAGTTAGAGCTCATCTTCTTATTTCTAAGCCAGCCTGTAATAAGTGGGAGTATGATTATTCCTCTAACTCAAGTTACACTCACCAAAAACTGGTAAAAAATATATACTGCATTGAAATTTAGGAAATAACATAAAAGGAGTATATCTTAAATTATAAACATTTTTGAGAGAATAGTTATTGGCTGCCTCCCCTGAATAAGTTCTCAACCTTGTTCCTTTTTAACAGGAACCCAAATTTCTAAGTCAAAAGGTCTGGCTGGAATTGAACTCTCCCAAAAATCCAAGGGTAGGATTATTATCAAGGATTATTAATCAATGCTTATTGACATAAGCCTTGACTGGCTTATGTCAATACATCCTTCTCCCAGCCAGTGTGAATGGCCTTTTGGAGGAATTCTGGGGAAAAAAGTATCTTCTCTTTTCTGTGGAAGCTGACAAAAGAATACATTCTCCAATCTGCTGAAACAGAAAATAAATGGAGCTTCTGTTTCTACCACCAGCCTTTTGAAGTCATGAAGAATTCCAACCTTTAAATGGAAGATAATATGGAGAAAAGCAAAAAGCACCCTAGTGACATGGGTAGGAATGTAGATGGCACCTGACAACCCTTCTTAGCTCATTCTTAATGACATGGCAGTGTCTTTCAACTCCACATCTGCTTCCACCATTTTCTAGTGCAGCAGCCAAGACAGAACTTGCAGCTGTGTATATAGGTGGGGAACCACAGAGTGCTGTTGAGTGCTGCATGCCCCTGCCCATGGTCACCTGTCTTCCCCTCTAGAACAAACTGTGCATACACTAACCAACTGATATTAGTGCATGATAAATCTAAAGAGAAATTTGTAAAATAATTGAAGTTTGGAGCCAAGAAAATTGGAAGAGTGAAATTGGATGCCATAAAGAGTGCCACGGACAGGAAGCCACTGCCTTCCCATGCTAGCTACCAGGCTACCATTAGGAGACCAGATGGACTGAGCTGTTCACTGGGTCAGCATGAACTCGTTCCAGGGTCACTCTGTTGTGGTTCCCAGACTACAGGCCTGGAAATAGCTCTTTATCTCTAACACACAATAGAGAGAATGTAAAGCCTTCAAGTAAGGTAGGTTAATTTCCTAGGAGTAAACTTAGCAAGTCTGCACCTGCAAATCTTTGCCTCTTAAATTTCACAACAGATGACTGGACATTTGGTGGAGTACCTAGGACTAGGGAACTCTGGCTGTGACTCAGTCTGGGGACTTTTACACATACACATGGCCTTAGCACTGCTTCCATAAACAAAGTGGATATCTAAAAGGGTCAAGGTCATGGCACAGGGTTTCAAAGCAGTTCTCTCCAGGCTTCTAGAATTTGCTTGTCCAGAGACAAATGGGTGAAGTGATGATCTGACAGAATTTGTATACACAAAGGAAAGTAACCTGTCCAATATGTAGGAGCTGACTAGGCTTGAAGGAGATAAATATTGGTCTCTGCTGGGCATCACTCTTCTTCCAATAGAGGTTTCCTCTTTCAGGGTTCATCCATACAGAAAACCAGGATGGCTGTAAAACAGTGAGAGGAGTGATCATTTATCTGGGATATTCCATACAATTCCACATGCATATTTGGGGTGGGCAACAGGCACACATATAGGGGTCTTATTTTTTTCCCTGTTGGAGAGTCCTGTGCCAGGAGATGCCAGCAAGGAACAGAATACATAGGTCCTGTCCCCATATATGTTAGGACCCTGAATGTGAGACCAGGAGGTACGTTGGAGTATGGTTCAAAAGACCTCTGCTAAACCAAGTCCTGTCTCTCCTGATAACCATTGTAGCATCTAGGGTGGACCCAGCAACAACAGTGGAGAAATGAGAAAGGATGGGGTGGGGGAAGTGAGGGGAAAGCAATAGATGACAATGACACAGACAGCCCATGGTTCTGAAGACTCAGATTTCACATCCAAGGATGGAACTGGGGAGAGCCAGGGCTAAGCCAAGTGCTTTCCCAGAACAGGAGCCCTTGCAGGAAGTGTCTTCCCCACAGTTACTCTCAGAAAGAAAGCAAAGCCAGTGGTTGCAGCTACATTTCAGGAGGGAAGAATGTGGAGAACTCAGCTACTGCTTCAGCAGTGGGTACCAGCAGTGGGTACAGAGCCTTCAGGGGTATTTTGGGGGAATCTTCTGCCAAGCCAACCTCATCCAACACCACCACAGACACGTACTTCTGCAGGTCCTTCCCCTGCTGGAAGCGAGCACACTGCTTAAAGGTGTTTATGATGCCCTGTGGGGTGCAGTGGGGGCTACACTGGAATGACACCAGGTGGACTTGCTTCAGGCTGCGGAAGAGAGTGGAGTGTGCGGCCTGGCCCTGCATGGCATCTGCCACTATGGTCTTGGTGAGAGATTTGGAGGTTCTGGGCTTTCCCACCAAGAGGGGTATCTTCAGCTCAATGCAGATGATCATCATGAAGACGTTCTCCTTCAGAGCCAAGTTCCTGGCTATGGTTTTCCTCAGAGGCACCCCACTCAGGAAAAGATCCTGTGCGTGTGTGATCTCGTCCAGGATGACCCTGTGTTGTCATATGGTTCTGGAAAATACCGGCAAATGGCTCTGCGGTAGGACTCCTTCTCCTTTAGGGAGGTGTGGTAACAGACCCCCACAGCCATCACCAGGGACCAGAGGACGGAGTCTCTCCTGAAGTTATTTTTGCTGACACTGGTCTCACAGAGAAAGGTGTTTAGCTTCACCAAGAGCATCTCGCTGCGGCCATGAAACCATGTGAACACCTTCACACAGCGCTCCACATCCCGGAGGCTGACGAAACTGCACTCACTTTTAGTGTTCCTCATGAACCTCTGGGAGGCAGAGAGCACTTCCGTGATCACACGAGTCTCCTCCTTGTTGATCCTGACGTGGTCCACCAGTCTCTGAACAATCTGCTGGATGTAGAGCTTTTCAGCAGTGTCATTCAGTTGCCCAAAGTCCCACACCAGAGGAATCAGGCTCGGGGGCAGGGCATGGACACGGTACACCAGCTGCCTGAGGGGAATGGAGCCCAGCCTGTCTGCTGTTTCCTCTGCACTGACCCTGTACCCCAAACCAGCTGACTCCAAACGGCAGATGGTCTCCTGAGAGTGCTTCCTGTAAGGGTTGCAGGCAGCTATGATGTGCAAGCCTGAGCCCTCCTCCAGTGGCTGGCCATCCACGGTCTGGTCACACAAGACTTCCTTAATATAGCTTATGGCTTCTGTTGTGTTGGCTTCGTCAAAGAACAAGATAGTGTCCAACTGGTGTTGGTCCTTATTGGATAAGGCAGTTTTCTCAGCCTCCACGACTTTGGAGTGGATCATGGCTGCAATTGTTCCTCCATGAACCTTGACCAACTTCATGGTCTTAGCCTGGGCACCACAACGCCGCAGATCACTAAGGAATTTAATGAGCCTGGTTTTCCCGCAGCCTGTTTCTCCCATGATGATAACTGGGATCCCACAGCGGAACCGCATCTCAATGGCCAGAATCTTGAGCATGTTGTCTGTTGTAAGCTCATATGTTTCATCAGGGTCCAGGGCCCAAGAAATTCCTAATGGCTGGCAGAGTCTCAAGATTTTCTCGTGTCTGGGCAGGTTATCAAAGTCAACATTGAAGGGCACACCTTGAAGCAACAGCCTTATGTACAGTTCTTCTGTCATGACATATTTCTTGATTATCTTCCCATTGAGATGGTTGATGGCATCAACGCTGCCATTCTCATTGGGCTGGAGATGGAAGCCTATGAATGTCATGGTCTCGTGGTCACCATTGAAGAACACATATGGGTGAGGCTCTGACTCCCACCTCCTCCGGAGAGTGAAGGGGGCGACCTCTTCTTCATCTTCACCATCTGTGGTGACCGTGTGCTTCCCAGGGCTCTGGTCAGAGGTATGAAGTGTTGGTGTGGCAAAGTCTCTTGCCATGAAGATCATGAAGGTGACCACAAAGTTCTTGAAGCCCCGTAGTGCATTTTCAGTACATCCTGGATTGCAGAATGGAGAAGCCTCACAGTCCTTGAGCTGACAGTTGAGGAACCGAGCAAAATTCCAGAGTTCTGACCAGGAGGGGTTGATGACCCCGCAGTATATGAGTAGGTGCTGGATGCATTCCCCTGGGGTACCTTCAACAGAGCCTTATTGATAGTGAAATGTGTCTAGGTTTTCTTTTTGATGGAATCGTTTTAAATATTGGTAAGGTCTTTGGAAAGTGGCACTTTGGAACTCTCTCTCATCCATTCCAGGCTCTATGATGCTCCTCTCAGGGCTCAGCTCCATGGCTATCACTTCACTGGGAGGTCTGCAGGTGACTTTGGGGAAGATATCAAGAAAACTGAACTGGGGGACATGTGGATTCTGCAAAGGAGAGACATAAGTAGAAGTTAGAACTTGATTTCCTGGCAGACACCTTCCATGCAGTCTACCCTGGATGGGACTTTATGAAAAAAAAAAAATCACTTGAATACATGTGGCTTTCTGTAGTCTATTGTTCACAGAGGCTGGCATCTGCACGTTAGGGTACTACAAAAGCTCAACTATGGCAGCTGTATTATGAACCAGGAAGCCATTTCCAATCCTGCGGCTCCATCTCTCCACTAAGCACAAACAGTGTGTGACAATAGAACTCCCACCAGCTAATGGGTTTCTATGAGCGAAGTGTCCCTGCCATGTTCACTGGCAGTGAACATAGGAGACAGTGTCTGTCAACAGAGGAATCTCCCATCACTCAGCATGGCTGGGACTCAACCCAGACACACAGCACCAATCTGACAGATCCAGACAAATCCAAGATGCTGCCAATCAACACAAGAGCATTCTCATTCCAGACATCATTGAATTCTAAGCCCAAGCATGCATTTCCCCTGACACTGTACATGCTGCTCCTCTAAGGCAAAAGTGGGAAACAACTAAGATGTGTCACCCCAAGCCACAGGCCACAGAATCAAAAGTGTACCATGACCACCTGCAAATGCCCTTGTACATACCTGCTTTGAAGACCTCCTTGACTGCACTAAATTTCTTTCTGTAATTTCAATGATATATAAATGGCACGGATTCCGAAGCCACATTTTCCCACTTGTATCCATTAGGTATTGTAAAATGAGGAGTTTGAAAAGAAAGACCCAAGTTCCAGACTGTACCTAAAGACAGAGAAGCATGGGTTTAAAAATAAACAATTGCCAATCATCTCTCCCAACCCCCAGGACCCTCCTGTCTTGTTCCTTGAGAGAAGGGTATCGACCACAGGTAGGTGTAGAAAGAAGAGACTCTTCATACAGGGAGAAGCAGGTGGGGCCCTTGGAATTACACCTTCTGATGTGGCCATTTGGTTGCCATATGGGAACTTACCGAAGCAGTCACATCAAAGTGGAATATCATGGGCTTTTTCCCATACTGAGAATCCCAGAAAGACAGGAGGGAGCCCAGGACATGGCCCTCATCCACCCGAGTGTCAGTCAACCGAACAATCTTTAAAGGGACCTTTTCACTGTTTAACTTCTTTTTCAGTTTTTCATGCAATCTCTTCACATAGAGAGATTTCCCTGTAATGTTAAAATAAGGAAATGAGATCCCAAGGCTATGGACCAAAAGGAAGAGAATCCAGAGAGATTAGAAATTACATCTCAGGCAAGAGCAGTGGCACCTGCGTGTAATCCCACCTACTTGGGAGGCTGTGGCAAGAGGATTGCAAGTTCAAGACCAGCGTCAGCAATTTACTGAGGCCCTAAACAACTTAGTGAGACCATGTCTCAAAATAAAAAATAAAAAAGGTTGGGGATGTGGCTCAGTGGTAGGGCACCCCTGGGGCAAATCCAGTTTAAAAATAATAAAAACAGTTACTTCTCTGTGTAAAATTCAAAAGTGATGCAAGGGAATATCAGAATAGAGCACAACTCCACCATGAAGCCAGAGTCCCCAGCTGTCACCCACTCAGCATCCTGGCATTCTCCATGATGACAGCAGTGGAAGTGTAATAATGTAAAAGCAGAGGTATGTCCCGAGCAGGGAGGGGAGGGCAGGTTTTGTCCTGACAGGGCACAGTGATGTTCATGGGATGAAATCAACAGAATGGAAGTCACCACTTCTTTCCAAGGACACATGTCAGTGACTGAAGGGAGGGTGCGAAGCACTCTTCTCCTGGAGCCAGAGCAGCTGTGCCTCCTCTGCTCACACTAATGCGACCCAGAAAAGGTCAAGGGTTTACACAAGAAAAAAGTGACCTGCAGAGAAGTCCATCCAAGGAGGAGCTGGGCTCCCAGGAACTGCAACCTGGGTGGAAAGGGGGCCCCTTCTAGAGGAAGTACTGACTGTAGGCAGTCAGACCCTCCTGAGACTCACTTTCCCACCTGCAGAGGGGTGTCATCTGAGGTGCCCACTGCTGCAGAGGCAGGGGTCATTGGGAAACCCTGAGAGACTGCCTGCCCACCCCAGTGTTCTCATTACCAACTCCGGCTCTCTCCGAGGCCACGATCCCCACACACATCTGGTCTCTGAACACAGCTGCTGCGGACAGGGTCTGTGCTGGGACCTGGTAGTGATGTGCCAGGTAGTCCTGGATGGCATGGAGGGGTGCCTGGGGGATGAGGTGGACTTTGTGCTGGCTGAAGGCTGAGGGCAGGTAGCAGCATTCCCATGCCGCATCACAGACCAGCACCAGCTGGTAGTCCTCCCGGGGACACTGTGTGCACAGGCTGCGGAAGAGGGCCTCTGCCTGGCAGGCCACCTCATAGCTCAGCTGATCTGCGAACAGCAGGCTGTAGACCTTGTGCCCCTGGGAAACCGGGGCCAGGCAGCGATGCAGGAACAGGGCCACCTCCTCAAATGTGGTCCCCGGGGTACAGAGTAGCACCTCATCGAAGGTGGGCAGGGGCTGGCCTGGGGCCTGCATGTAGATGGCCAAGGTAGCCAACAACACCTCAGAGTGGCCACATAAGACCAGGTTGGGCTGGCCAGCCTGCAGGCCCAAGGGGAGTGACCGTTCCACAGGAGGCCTGCCCATCCTGGCCAGGCAAGCCAGACAATGGCCCAGGGCCTCCAGGTCCAGGCAGCCAGGCAGAAAGACACTCATGCTCTCCAGGGACTGTTCCATGATGGCCCTCAGCTTGGTCACCAGGCTGATCTCAGCAGATTGCAATGGAGGTAATTTTTCCATCATTGTCCTCACGTGGTGTCTGGGGGCCTCATTGAACCCCTCGGTGGCCCTTAAGACGTCAGCTGGGGTGCAGTTGTCTTTGATGAAGGACAGTATCATGAGGGCAGCTTTGCTGGGACTCTGCTTCCTGAGCTCGGTGCTCAGGAGGACCAGCTGCTCGGCCGTGTAGAAGTTGAGGTAAAAGTGCTCCCTGCGTTTTCTGCTCACCAGCTCCTTCCAGTCATCCAGGAAGTGCTCCATCTGCCTGCAGAGGGCTTCCAGGAGCTGGGTGACGTCCCCACTCTCTGCCAGCTGGCTTACCAACTCCAAGTGGAAGTCCATGCAGATGGAGATGCCATTCCCGGGGCAGCAGTAGACCTTGGCAGTCCAGGTCCGGAACAGCATGTTTCCTGCAGAGTACAGGTTCAGGAAGGCTTGCATGAGCCGCTGCACATGGCAGAATAACTGCGGGAAACAGGGGCATGAGGCAGAAGTCACAGTGAGCTAGTGAAGAAGGACGTGCCAATCTAGACACACATGGGTTCTAAGTCAAGGGGCTTGGGTTCACTCCACAGGGTCACTGGGAAACACAAAAAGCCTAGGGAGAGGGCAGCCACCTTCAGGAAGAGATCAAGTTGCAGATAAGAATGTTGATGTGGGCTGGACTGTGCTCAGTGGTAGAGCACTTGCCTAGTATGTGCCAGGACCTGGCTCTATGGCTGCACTGGAGGAAAAAATGTCAATTGTGAAGTACAAACAAACTGTAAGGAAAGAACCTATAACAGGAGATATCTATATGTATATGTATATGTATATCTATCTATCTATATCTATATCTATATATATATCTATATCTATATCTATATCTATATCTATATCTATATCTATATATATATATATAAAAACCAACAACCTGTGTCAACAATTATTTCAGGTTTTTTTTTTTTTTTTTTTGGTACTAGGGATTGAACTCAGGGTGTTCTACCATTGAGCTATGTCCACAGCCCTTTTTTATTTTAAGACAGAATCTCACTAGGTTGCTGAGGCTGGCCTCTAACTTGCAATCTTCCTGACTCCCTCCTGAGTCACTGCTGTTACAGGCATGTGCCACCACACCTGGCTTGATTACTTTAGTTTTGAAGAAGAGTGCCCATTAGAATCTTGAGGTGTTTGACTTTACCAATTTACAGAGTAAACAAAGACATTTGTGCTTCCTTTTAAGATCTATCTACTTGGTCACCTCCTGCTAAATGCAGCTGATTAACCACCAATGGTGACAGAACCTTCTGATGTTCTTAAGGAGGAGCTGATGCCTCCAAGGCCTGTCCCACCTCAGATGTGGCTCCAGGCAAGGTGCACCCTGCAGACCCACAAGCTCCACTCTCTGGAGCCAGTCTGTCCACCGGAGGCCAACCCCTGCCCCTTCCCCTTTGCAAGCAGCAGGGCAGTGAGTATGCCCAGCCTGAGGCAACAGGGCATCTGCTCACCTCAGAAAACCTCTCCACTTCCATACTCTTGTGGTCTTTCTTGCCAGACATCAGCATCAGCTTGTTTAAAAGATCCCTCAGCTCTTCCAAAGTGTAAGAGCGATCTGGCTCCAGGTCACTGTGACCCCCAGGGAGGATCAGGCTCAGGATGGCATCTGGGGAGATCTGGGAGGCACAGCATGTTTAAAGGCCATTTTCTGGTGGCTGAAACCCTGACTCTGCAGCAGGCCAACGCATGCCACCAACACTGCACCTGGAATCTGGGAGAGCTCACCTTCTGGTCACCTGTGGATGCCCTGATCTCATAGATGCCTCTGCTGTTGATTGCTGTGGCCAGGGACAGGGACGAGAGCTCAATGGATCCGTGGCTTTCCTTCACTGTCTTCAGCCACTCCAAGTTCCTGGCAGAATCTCGCTGTTGGGATAAAAGCAGAGAACATGGACCAGGGTTCGAATGACTATCTTCCTGGATGTCCTCCTCCTGCCTCTGCCCTTGCTGGGCAAACTCCAGCCACTCTCCTCCAGGGCTCTGGGTGTAGCTGCTCATCCAGTGCCTGAGGCTGTCTCAGGTGCCTCTGACTGGTCCTCAGGACCCTGCCTGGTCCCCAAGGACCCTGGCCACTCAGTGTAGCTGCACTGGTGCCTGGTTCCTAGCTGACACTTGGAGTGCACGTGGCCTGCACTTACGGATGATTGGGTGGATGGCCACAGGCCACACTCCCAAGTGAAATGCCACCATCCTGTTAGGTTCCCAGAATAAAGGCCCTCTGAGGAGAGATGCTTGACTGAACAGGAGCCCTAAAATCTTAATGTCCTGCCATGGTCCCTGAGCATGACCCGAAGAACTTGAAAAATTGCAACAGAACGTCAGCTTCTAGCAGAAAAATGAAACTGCAAATTGCTCTCTCTGTCCATCTCCCCACCCTCCAACCACACACAGGATTGTCCCAAGGCTGATGCAGGCTTCTGGACATCTCTTCTCGTTGGGCAAGTTATGAGTGTACGTTTACTCAGATGCTGGTACAGGCAGTTAACTTAAGTGTTTTTTTTTTTTCTGATAAAAAAATCAATATTAATTGTGAAAAATACTCAAAAGTAACCAAACAAATGGAAAATTACTACCATTCAGAGAAAACTGCTGCACACCCTTTCGCACACTTCCTACCATGCTCTTTCCACACTTGTCCTGTAGGGTGGAGACTGCTCTTGACATGCAGTTCTGTAGCTCCCGTTCCAACCCAAGACAAAGAAAGCATTTCCATATGTGAAGAAAAGCTGGTTTTAAACATCAGTTTAAATGGCTGCCTCCATGCCTCCATGCCCATGTGCCCTCCAAGCACAGCTGCTCCCCAGGGCTGCAGGACCTCCATGCCTTGGAACCGGGAACAAGACTCACCAATTTACGGGGCAGATGGGGGTCATTTTGCAGAGCCTTCCAGAGTTCTCTCAACTGTTCCATGAACTCGCTGAAGCCTGCCTTCTGGTCCAGCTTATACAGCAGGGACGCATAGCCCTGCACAGCATCATGGAAGCAGGCCACCCGGTCCACGTCAATGTCACTCTCTCCAGCTGAGATGGAGGCCAGGTCCACAAACACCTGGAGCTCGGTGATGCCTGGGGCAGAGGACAGGTCAGCACAGGACCACTCCAGGATTCTGCACAACTCTCACCTGGAGCACGATCCTTCGTGAAGCCATCAACAGACACTAAGTAAACACCTAGGATGTGTGATACTTCCTGCCTTCAGTTAGGACACCAGGGAACCTTTTCTTTTGCAGCATATGATGACACCACTGACCAACATCTAACCTTTACCAAACAATGTCTCAGGCACTGTTCTAGGCTTGTGTGTAACTTATTTCCTTTAATCCACAAACATCATCACTTAAACAATTCAGATTCAGTTGGTTAATAATATGTGGACAATTACTTATTTAAAAAACTGAGATAATTCCCCCAGGGTTAATTACTAATCAAAGAATGTACATCAAAGCAGACTCAGGAGTACAAGGTGGAAGCAGCACAGCTCTGGATGAGAGCTGGAGCCAGCACAGCCTTAGTGGCAGCAGGAGGTGGTCTTCTAGGCCTCTGCCCCTGCTCCACCTCTTTGAACTTTCTTTCTTACCTCTCCTCCCCTGCCTCTATCTAGTCCACACAACCATGCAGGCTGCCTAGTGTTAGGCTGGAAGAGAAATGCACATTTTCTACAAGCTTAGAGCAGCAATGCCCCCCTGCCTGCAGGAGCTTACCTAGGCCTCTGGCAGAATGAGTTAGAAGGAGCAAAGGAAATCCAGATGCTTACGAACACAGATGGAGAGAGCAGCAAAGTAAACAGTTTTAACCAGAACCCTGAGAAGCCATCCTGATGCAGACTCCACTGTGAGCCTGGAAGCAGACACTATCCCCCACTTAAAGCACACACACAGGAATGAGTCAGAGTGCCCTCAAGCTCAGGAACCCCACTTGGCAAACAACTGAAGTCAAGTGCCCCCCATACCTCCCAGGGCCTCGTGCAGCCAGCTGACCAGCTCCTTCTGCAGGGCCAGCTCCTCCAGACACTGGCAGCAGGGCTCGCTGATGTCCTGCAGCAGCTTCTTAGCCCAGATATGCTGTGGGCTGATCTGGTCCAGTGTCTCAAGGAGGGTGGCCTCGAAGTCATCAATCTGCAAGATGAAGCTCTGCTGTGGGCTGCATCAGAGACTACCCATGCCTGGCCCGCCCCCACATGCCTGGACCAGCAGCTGCTATGGCAACAGCATGACACTCTCTTGCACCAAGGATAGCATAACCTCCACAGCCCTCCTTGCTGGGCAGCAGTAGCTACTGTCACCGGTACCCAAGGTCCTATGGGGAAGCTTACTTGGACTTTGAAACCTGCTCCTCACAATAGCCCTGCCAGGTCCATGTCGTTGGCTTCTCTGTTTTGGGGAGTTACTCACAGATGTACCGAAGGGTTCAAGTTTAGGTATGGACACTTCCATACTCTGTGCTAAATTCTAAGCATTATCACACCTGTCTCTACTGAAAAATGGGCTACACATGTCTTAGAAACCTGAGGCTAAGAAATAGGAAGAAGAGACTCAGGCCTGAGTTACAACAGGAACAAGGTACCATTTGGCATTTCCACCAGAACTAGGGAGAGGTACCTGGACAGCTGACAAAATATTTCCTTTTGTGCTTTTACAATCTAAAGAGATGAGATTCCTTTAGAAAAGGGATGGTTTCTCTATCCCGAATTTTGGGTTTTCATATCAACTCAAGAAAATTTACTAGCTAAGGAACAGTCACACTGTCTCAAGCAAAGGTAAAAACCCAGGGCTTGGAATATTCCAGACTTAGTGCAACCTAGATGAGAGTCCTTGAAGGGTGCTGCCACACTGACCTTCCCAGAAGCCCTGGGGCTTCCAAGGAGTCTGAGGTAGGCCCCTACCTCTCAGGAGTCCCCAGAAAATAACTTACAAAGTTTATTAAAGTGTAAATAACACTGAAGTCACCGGTCAATCCAAAATTGTTTTTGACTTGCAAGATGACCTTGGCCGAGCTGATTGCCTGGTGCAGGCTATGGTACTCCTTGATCTGTTCAACACGCTCTGAGATCCAGCCCCTCTGGGCCTGGGGGTCTACTTTACACATGATCTGGAGGTCGAAAGTCAGGTCATTGTATTTATCTACAAAGTCCTTGAAGATGACATTGATTTCTCCAATGGTGACCTCTCCTGACTTCAGATCCTGATACAATTTCATGAACTTTTGGTAACAAGGCGAGTACAAGTACTCATAGGCCTCTATAAGCACAAGGGTTCGTCTTTCAGATTCTCCTTGGGGATAGCTTAATGACTCTGCAGCTTCTTCCCAGAAGATCTGGAAGATGTGGCTGTCCATCAGCGAGTCTATCCTTGCAGCCATTTCCTGGACCTCACAGTCTAGGTTGTAGTGCGTCATCTGCTTGCAGGCTGAGGATGCCGGCTGGCTCACCCTCATGGCTTCATTCAGTCTTTTGTGGTTCAGATCTTCTGAGTGTCTTGCTTCAATCTCTCCAAAGTCCACTTGGGAAACCATAGGAAATATGGAAGTTAAACTGCTAGTCATCTTATTTTACTTTCGTAGAATTTCTAATCATTTCTTTAAGAAAACCATTTCTTTAAGCGAATATCATTGCTGGGATTTTTGTTTCAGTAAGAATTCATCCCTCCTCCCCTCCATCTTGCCTTGGGCTTGCTCATCAGTTTTAATAATTAAAAATAGACTGTAAGCTCTTGTATGGAGGGGACAGTTGGAAACACACATTTATCCCCGCCCCCCCCAAATCCCACTCCAGTGGCATATTAGAAATTACTTTTGAAAGATCAGAATCAGCAGGAACGAGGAGAGTAGAAAAGGAGCCCGATAGCAATACAAGCTGGGAAGTGGAAAGACAGCCACACCAGTGGCAAAAGACACTTGGGGCCTGAGAATACGGAACCTTAGGCCACAGCAGACATAAGCTCAGCCAGGCCTAGCTCCCTAGACTGGGAGAGGCAGAGAGGGAACTGGAATTGGGTTCCAAGTCTGTTTAAGAAGCAGTTGGTGAGAGTCCACTTCCAACATGGAGGCAGATGGGGGCTGCTCTCTACCTGGCAAGGGGCAGAAAGGACCACCTGCAGGGCTCTTAGGCCTGGAGGCTACTTCTAAACACACACCTGTCTTGGGCAGCTCCAGAGGACAGGGATTATTCAATCTAAGAACCAAGAGGACGACATAGCCACCAAGGCAGGAAAGCAGAAGTAAAGCAGAGACTCCTCCTCCTCCTCTCCCTCTTGGCTCCAGAAACCTGGCTGCAGGCAGGGGCTGCAAATATGATCAGCCCTCAAGAGAAGCCCTCAAGGACCAGGTCAATTTAGGGGCAGCCACAGAACCCCAAGGGCCTTGGCCCAGAAGCACTCAACCTATCAATCCATTTGTGGGGACTGCCTTCATAGACACAGACAAACAAAAATCTCCAACTAGAATAGGAAAAGCTTTAAAGCGGGAAGTAGATACCAAAAACCTCAACAGGGCTGGTGTAGCTCAGTGGCAGAGTGCTTACCTGGCAAGCACAGAGCCTAGGTTTGGGCTGGGATTGTAGCTCACTGGTGACTGCACATGTGAGGCACTGGGTTTGATCCTCAGCACCACGTAAAAAACAGAAAAGGAAAGCCTTCGTTCTATCCCAAGCATACAAAAAAGAAAAGAAAAGAAAGAAAGAAAAACAAACTAACAGAAAAAAGCAACTTGGATGAAACTGGAAAATATGCAAGGAAAAGAAAAAGAAAACCTTTAAAAATACCAATAATCTCTGAAATAAAACATACTGTAATCATGAACCATGAGAACATCATAGTACATAAATGGACAGATCTTTCAAGGAAAAAGGGAGTGCCTTTAAATTCAGTGTATGCGGGAGCTGACATGAAAAGTTAATGTCCAGACTGCAGGAGGAGGTTAGGAGGCTTAGGAAGCGAAGCCCAAGCAGGAGAGATATCATGGGAGTCAGGCAACCATGCCAGGAGGCCCAGAAGCTGTTGATGTGCATCCTGCAAGAGGGAAAGCACAATGAACCAATTCAGGAGAACGCCCTAGAGCTCTAAGACTAAATCTCCGGCTGAGACCTGTCAGTGCCCCATCTTAGAGATGGAAAAGAGACCCAAGGCCAGGCACAGATTAATGTCAACCTCAGAACACCAGGGCCACACAGCTCTCAAGAGCATCCAGAGAAGGACAACAAGCTCCATACAGAGACTCAGTAGTGACGCTGCATCTGATGTCCCAATGCAGCACTCAGGCAGCACTCTGAAGGAAACTCTGCCCCTGGCCCAATGATCAACCTACATCAGGGGCACAGTTCTGTATCTGGCCTCCTATGTCCCCGTCCCAGCAAGCAGTAGATGCCACTCTCTGTCAAACAGGAGTCAAGCACAGGCCAGAGCCAAGGAAACCTGGGAGACGAGGGGAGATTGAGGGCCACCTCCCCGCTAGGGGAAATAAGCCCTCTGTCCTGGGAGACTCTTCAGAGACATCCACTCAGATAGCTGGTACAGTTTTGGGTTGAATTTGAAATAAACACAATGAAAAAGGGGAAAAGGAAGTACCAAGGCAAGAAATGCAATTCCACCAGCTACAGAAACTTTGTGCCAGAACCGTGGAGTGGCCATGGTCCACCACACGGCTTGCCTGTGAATCCTGTGTTCACACCATGGTGAAGGCCCTACCCTGAAGAAGGTACCAGTAACTCAGGACACCACTGGGAGTGACAAAGCAGCAAGCAGCCTCATGTTCAGGGCACAGACTGGAGAAAGATCTACACCTCCCCTCCTTGGGAAGCCAGCATAGGACACTGACACTGGGAAATCAGGGACATTGAAGGGTATGGAGGCACACAAACAAGAATGTACAAGGGGAAGGTGTTTCCCCAGGCAAACACATTGAAAACTGGGTCAAGAATGTTTTTTTAAAAGCTTCTCCCTGAAAAAAAGGCCCCACTATTTGTGGCCTGCTTCGTCCCTGTGACAGCTCTCAAGGGTGTCCAGCGTGACTGCGGGAGCAGTACCTTGGACGAGGTGCTTCACTTTCCCACACAGCCTCAGGAGGCTGTCCACCTGTCTCTTCTCTCTCTTCAGAAACACGACTTCATCCATCCTCCAGTTCAGTGTCTCTTCCATGTCACAATTTTTCTCTTGGAATGAAGAACTTTCTGTCTCTGGAAAACAATGACAAAGTCAGCCAAAGGAAACAAACTTCACGGCATCCCTTTCTCTCCCTGGGAGTGCCCCACAGTCACCACCAGAAGCACAAGAAGCCCTCCACTTGGTGGCATAGAGGAGGACAGCCAGCACACATGTGAACACAGTCTTCTTACCAGCCTGGCCACAGCTCACCTAACTGCCACAGGTCCAGAAACTGACTTTTGTGCTTCAGGATCAGCTCCAAACGTCTGAACAATATGGGCCCATCCAGGATGTCACCAGTAACCTTCATGAAGACAGAGCTGGCGGCAGCCATCAACCTCTTGGCGTCCTCTGTGATGTTGGCTAACAGCTTCTCCTCCGTTCCTAATCAGGTAAGGAGAGCAGTGACTCCCTGCCCCTCCCACCTCTTTGCAGCTAGAACCTCACACCAGCCCCATGCCCACAGGGTGCCTGCAGCAGTCAGTGGTGTTTCCAGATGTGCTGACGCCCCACTCAGCTATGCCTATACCTGTGAGGTTAAAGTTTTACCCTAGTGCATCTCCTGACTGAGAGGAGGAGACCCTTCCAATGGACAGAATCAGCCAGGAGAACCACAGTGCTCAGGGTTGAAGGCCTGAGCCCACGTTACAGTGAACATAGTTCTTGGACTACACATGATATCTTTTGAAATTCACCTGTCCTGAGAAACCCTGCAGTAGTACAAAAATAAACTGCAACAGGACAAGCTCACATCAGAGGCCACTCCATGGGTGCAGGGAAGCATCTGCACAGCACCCAGGAAAAAGGCAGATCCATGCTGCAGCTTCATGCTCTGCCTATCTTGTCTGTGGATCAAAACCTGGAACATGAGCTTTTGGAGCGACTAGAGGACGATATTTTAAAACATGACTATTTTAACTGCCAGATTATTTATCTCACAGTAATATGAGGCTCGTATAGTATTATAAGAAGACAAAGTTTATCTTTACCATTAAAAACAAAGATAGCAGGGGGCTGGGGTGCATCTTGGTGGTAGTGTGCTAGGCTAGCAAGCACGAGACCCTGGTTCATCCCCAGCATCACACACACACACAGTGCAGCTGAGATGACCTTCAGTGGGAGAATTAACCAACCCAAGAACATCCAGACAAGGGGACTTTGCTCAGTGATAAAAGGAACAGAGCCATGAACCAGGAAAAGACAAGGAGGAGCCTTAACTGCGTGCTGCCGAGTATGCAGAGTGTAATACAGTGTACTCTTCCCCAGCAGGCTGCTGTGGCCCGTTCAGGACCACACACTACTCCTGCCTATGTCCTGGTGTAGAACAGAGCAGCTGGTTTGGCTGAGACAATCATTGGCCCTGGGTTTTTATTGCCACACCCAGTGCTTTCCCACTACAGGATCTGAATCTAGCAATTTACACATAAACCTGCACCATCATTTCCAGGGCAATGCATGACACTTGGGAAGATGATGGCTGAAGAGTCACTTCATGTTTTGTTAGTTATCAATATTGGTCTCAAAATGTGAGCTTCACAGGGAGGCAAGCTGGGCTTGGACTTGATTTCTAATCATTTGTTATCTTGGAGACAGTAAGTCTTCAACACCCTGGGTAAGCAACGTGTCCTGGGCACTTCTATTCTCTCATCTGGAAATCAAGGGGCTTGGGGACTTTAAGAGGGGCTGCTTCAAGTGTGTCCCCCCAGGAGCACATGTCCAGCAGGCATTCAGCAGACTCTGGTTCTGCTGTTAGATGTTCTTAATTACACCAGATGCCTAGCACCTGCCTGGGCACCTCTGTCCATCCTGCCTTTACCAAATCTCAGCACATGCAGGCTGAGGATCAGGTCAAGTACCTTGCCCTGTTCTGCCTGAGGAAGGACAGCAACCCCAACCAGCCGTATACGCACTGTACAACTTGAAGAGCTGCTTCACATCTGGCCCCGTGAGCAGATGTTCAAGAATCTCATCCAGGCCTTCCATGGCCACTCTGTTGTTCCTGGGCCAGGACTTGGTGATCATAGCAGACATGAGGCTGCCAAATTTCTGCAAATCATGACAAGAGACTCCCTCCAGGACACTAGTCTGAGACTAAAAGAAAATGAATTGAAAAGAGAGGACTTTAGAAGATTTTACTGATTTGTTTTTTAATGACACAAGTTAGCACCCAAGAGCATTTCAGAACTCTACTGAAGCTAGTTTTATAGTGCCTCAAAAAAATAATAATACAGAAGAGAGGTTGGGCTACCCCCTAGTAAGTGGGGAGCTTAGCCTATTGGATTCTCTGGATTTCATCCCCAGTACTGCAAAAAGAAAAGAAAGAAAAAACATAAAATGCTTAAAATTTCCTAGAGTGATTCCATTTCCTTGTGGCCTGGCTTCTTATGTGAGGTGCCAGAGATTTGAAGATGCTTGCACATGCATGAACACACCCCCACAACCCCAAGTCATACACCATCTCAGCTCACTGACAACATCTGCATTTCTCTTAGACTTGCCTGTCATTAAAAATACCAAAAACAAGATGAGGAAAACTTTTAAAACTAGAGAGCAACATTTTAAAACATGACTATTTTAAATGTATCATGTATCATTTTTACTATATCATGTATTTTATGTCCTGAGCTGTGATTCTCATAAAGACTACCCTCAAGCACCATAGACAATCCAATTCTCCTTCTGATGCTTCACCAAGAAACAAAATGCATTTCTTCTTTGGGTTCACAATTTTGCAAAAAAATGTTCAGTAGTCAGAAAAAAACACAGGGTAAACTAACAACAAGATACTTTTTTGACATGAAAGGATAGAAAAATCATTAACTAGCCACACATAAAAAGTTATGAAGCAGATTTATCCCATGTATAAAAAGGATGTTTTAAAATAAAAAATCAGTTAATAAGCTGGGTGTGGTGGCACATGCTTATAATCCCAGCAACTTGTGAGGCTGAGGCAGGAGGATCACAGGTTGGAGACCTGATTCAACAACTTAGTGAGCTCTGTCTCAAAATGAAAAATAAAAAGGGCTGGGATAAAGAGATAAAGTACACATAGGTTTAATCTCCAGTACCACATACACACACAAAAATGTTAACACATCCTACCAGTAGAACAAAATAATAGCCATTTTAATACACACAGAATAAGTATCAGACAAAACTCCAAGAACAACACAGGATGGCCAATTTCACCACTTTCACAGTCCCAGAGTTGCTATCCAGGGTAATTATGTTGGAAAATGAAAAAAAAAAAAGGTGTTGGGATTGAAAAGGAAGTACTATCCTCATAGGCAGATAACACAGTCATCTTATATAGAAAACTCAAAGAAGACGCACTCTCCCATGTATGCCCCACTAGAGTCATCAAACAAGCCTGAAAAGTTGCAGGACACGGAGATGAGGTACAGCCCTATTTCCATATGCTAGTGATGAACAATCCAACAACAGAATTGAGAAAATAATTTGTTACAATAGCAAAGGAATAAAGCACTTATGAGTAAACTTCACAAAAGAAATGCAAACCTTACATTTAAAAACTGCAAACCTTTCAGTTAACTCACTCAAGAGAACAGAACTGGAAACATAAAACATAAGTGAAATTCTCTCAGTACATGATGCAAAAAAGAGTAGCAAGAATTTTGAAAATGGCCTTACATTTGGAGGAATATTTTATAGACTACTTGAATTTTTTAACCTGGAGAAGAATAATCTTGGATTAGCCAAATTCTTGCTATTAGAATTACTCCAAAGTGTTTGGAAACTTACTTTGCCTAAAAATTTGGTGACATATATCAGTATATTTATGTCATAGATCTGTATAGACCATATATGTATATATGGTTACATATATAAGTATGCTAAATATTTTTTTGATGGAACATCACAGTCTTGTGCCAAACTAAATAAAAGGCAATTTGAGTGATGTATAGTTTACCTCCTTCTATGCAACATCTCCCAATTTAGGGATCTCCACATGTTTTCTTATCTCCTTTTTTGGTCTGTTCATAAGGTCTCTGGAGGCCTAGGTTTGGAATTCACAGACATTTCCTCCTCATTCAGTCAAATCAAAGTGTTAATGTCAATCCAGATTCAAGGGTTGGGGAAAGCAATTCATCCTCTTAGTGAAAAGAGTTGCAAAGAATTTGTGGCCATTCTAAAGCTGTCATAGTGATTTAGTTTTGTAATTTTAACCTAATTATAAAATGAAATAAGAGAGAAATAAGAAATTAAAAGGGTTGATCTTTTGAAAAATAGGAGAATATTAGAAGAAAAGGAATGAGAGGGGAGAATAGGAAGGATAGGAAAGGGGAAGAACAACAACATGAAATTAACCAAACTCTGTCCTGTGCACATCTGAATATATCACAATGAATTCCACTTTTATGTACAACTATAATGTACCAAATAAAAATAAATCAATAAAAAAGAAAAAAAATAAATAAAAACTGCAAACCATTGTTGAAAAGAATTAAAAACCAAAATAAATGGGAAGACATTCCAGGTTCAGAGACCATGAGATGTGACATTGTTAAGAGGTCAACACTCCCCAAACTAACCTATAGATTCAAAGCCATCCCTGTCAGAATCCCAGATGTTTTCCTTGTAGAAATTGACAAACTGATTCTAAAATACATATGGAATCCCAAGAGATCCAGAAGAGCAAACAATGCCAAAAGAGGAGAAAAAATCAGGAGAACTCATGCTTCTTGATTTTATGACCTACTGGAAAGAAATGGCAGTGGAGATACGGATGGATGTGAGGTGAACCCTCAGGACTGCGTCAACTGATTTTTGACAAGAGTGCCAAGATCCCTCTAGGGGTGAAGTATAGTGCCTTCCTCAAATGGCCTGGGACACGCTGGATCTCCATATGCAAGAGAATGTACCTGGACTCCTACCTCCTATCATGGAGAAGAGGGGACTAATGTTAAGAGCTAACATTCTAGAGCTTTCAGAAGGGGTCTCTCTCTGATAGAGCACTTGTTTAGCATATGGTCCTAGGTTTAACACCCAGTGCCCAAAACAAAACAAAACAAAAACCTTTTAGAGGAAGACACAGGTAAAACTTCACGACCCAGGATTTAATACAAGATTCTTTGATGTCAAAAGTATTAGCAACAAAGAAAAAAAATAGAAACATTGAATTTCACTAAAAGTAAAAACCTTCCCAGAAGTGGTGGGGCACACCTGTAATCCCAGCTACTCAGGAAGCTGGGGCAGGAAGATTGCAAGTTTGAGGTCAACCTGGACAATTTTGTGAGACTGTGTCTCAAAATAAAAAAAAAAAAAGGATTAGGGATATAGTTCAGTGGTAGAGCATCCCTGGTTTTAATCCCTACTACCACAAAAGGAGAGAGAGAAAAAAAAGAAGTTAAAAACCTCTGTGCTTTTAAAGAAATCACCAAGAGTGAAAAAAATCCAGAGAACAGGAGAAAATACTGGTAGATAACATATCTGACCAGAGATTTGCATCTGATTAGCCAAAGAATTCTCATAAGCCACAATCAAGGGAGGACATAGAGCCCAAATGAACAAAATGGGCCAAAGATCTAAACAGACATTTCTCCAAAGACGTAGAAAGCAGAAATAACCAATAAACATAGGAAAAGGTGCCCAAGGTCATAGCCACCAGAGTCACCTGAGAAACTATCCTATACCTAAGACTGTACTTCCCAGGTCTGAGAGCACAGGCTGTGGGGGTGTGGAGAAGTCAGGACCCTCCGAGGCTGGCAGCTGACATGGAAATGGTCCAGCCACTGTGGGAATGGGCCAGACAGTCCTTCAAATCTCACAGGTACCAAGTGATCCAGCCACTCCACCATAGGCGTAGAGAGTGTGAACAGCACATCCACACAAACCCTTGTGTGGAGGATCACAGCAGCAGACTGATAACAGCCATCAGTCAGGGAGAGCCCAGATGTCCAGCAGAGGACAAATGGAACATAAAAGCACACTGCATCCATATGATGAGCAACATGTAGCCATGAAAAGGGACAAAGTACTGACAGATGCTCCAGAATGGATGGCCTTGAACACACACTCAAAAGAAGCCAGGCACCCACGGCCACAGCCTGTGTGATTTCATTCCTGAGATGCCTGAGTAGTCTGTGGAGGAGGAAGGGAGATTAGGTGCTGCTAGGGAGGGGCCTGGGGCCAGCATGGTGGAGGGCAGACACAGCAGATAAAGGGCTGTGTTTTCTTTCTGAGCTGATGAGAATGTTGTCAGGTAGACTGTGGTAATAGCACCCACACCTGAAACACACCATTCCCCCAAGCCTGGCTTCCAGGGATGAGTTTCAGGACATGTGGCTACCATGTTACTAAAGCACTGAGCAAAAAACGAATGATAGCCTTAGAAAGTATTAGTTATGTAAAAAGATGAGAGCCTGTTTCCCTGGAAGAAGGGACCTCTAATTCTCAGGAATCTACTGGCCAGTAATGAAGCTGAGGTCTGTACAGAGTGTGAACTGTCCACTAGGAAATAGAGCAGGACCATGGGAGCCTCATGGGTACTGTATGGGGACTGCTATTGACATGCACTGAGGCAGAACATCTTCACACTTTGCAGAACAAAAGCTTAGTGAACCAATAGAAACATTTACCCCTTTTGTTGGGATCAGAACCCAGGGCTCTGCACATGCCAGGCAAGTGCTCTACCCCAACAAGGATGGAGTCTATTGAACTTCATAAGCCTCCCTAGATGTCTTGTCAATCTTTGGAGTCTTTTCCTGCATATCTACTGGGAAATATTGAACAGGTCATAAACAAACCAGCAGCAAGGATCACAATGGGCAGATGGAGGCCCAGCCCACCAGATCATCTGCACCAAGGCTTGTAACACCGCTGTGGTTACACAGGGTGTGTGGCTGCCTCTATAGAAGGAAGCCAAATTGCATGTCAAGGAGTGGGTAGAGAACACTGGATCACAGCATGAGGTCCAAGCCAGGGAGGGGGCACCAAGGACCCAATCCTGGTCAGCACAGGCCTTGGAACTGGCAAGCAATTAGGGCCTGGAGCTAGCCATGTCAGCAAGCAGCTATGAACCCAAGCATGTTTCTCAAGAAGAGATTGGTCACCTGGCAGGCAGAGCTCACAGCTTTGATGACACACTTCTCAAAGCTCTTGGCCACACTGTCCTTGAGGCCAGCGGCGTCCCACTGAGGGCTGCAGAAGGCAGAGATCTGGGAAAGGGGCCTCTCCTGCAAACACAGAGGCAGGTGGGTGTATGAACACCTGGTTGTTCTGACTCCCCTCCTCCCTGCCTTACACTAAGCATGTCCTCCCTGCCCTT